CCTTTCTCCTCCTATTAAAAAGTAAGCCTGTCTGGGTGTGGTGGCTCATGCCTAACAATCCCTACACTTTGGGAGGCTAAGGTGGGAGCATTGCTTGAGTCTCAGAGTTCAAGACCAGCCTGGGCAACATAGTGAGAACTTGTCTCTTCTAAAAAATAGTAAGAAGAAAAGCTAGGCATGGCTGTACACACCTGTAGTCCTAGCTACTAGGGAGGCTGAGGTGGGAGGATCACTTTAGCTCAGGTGTTGGAGCTTGCAGTGAACTATGATCGCACCACTGCAGTCCACCCAGGGCAACACAGTGAGTCCCTATCTCAAAAAAAAATGTAAGCTTCACGAGGAAGCAGTCTTTATCTGTTTTGGTCACTGAGGTATTCTATGCCTAGCACTGTAACACAGTGTAGGCAGTCAATGAATACTTGTTGAGTTGAATTGCAATATGGTAAACATGGCACTTGGTCTCACCAAGCTATCCACCTGTATTATCCACATCACCCTGCACAGGTTGGGAGTCACAGGCTGAACCACTGGAACTGGGTTTCTCTGATAACATCTGTGAGGTATGGGAGCTGATCATGACTCACAGTGTTGCTTTGGGGAGACAGTGTTCAGCCTAGCCACAGGCAAGGTCTCAGCACTCCTGCAGCATCAGGGCCAACTCTGCACCAGATATAAGTGGGCTGATGGTGGTTAGGTCATATAGTCTCTTGGACTTTGGTTTAATCCACTCAACAATAAGGATGATGCTTTTCTCATTGGGGTGGGCAAAATCTGTTATGGATGATTCCCCAGCACCTGGCAGAGAGTCTGGCACAGAGTAGGTAGGCAGTAAGTTAATTGGTTGGTTATGAGGAAAAAATGAGACTATGTTTGTAAACTTATATAACCATAAATAACTTGGCATAGAGCCTGGAAAGTGGTAATCATGCATTAATTCATGCAACAAATATTTAATGAACACCTACTATGTGCCTGGCAATAATTCAGTCACTTGTAGTAGCCTGGGCAGGGAAGAGACTTTCTTTAAGATAAGCTGAGCTTAAAAGGCAACCTGGGCATGGTGGCTCGCACCCATAATCCCAGCACTTTGGGAGGCCGAGGTGGGTGGATTGCTTGAGCCCAGGAGTTCAAGACTAGCCGAGGAAACATAGTAAAACCCATTTCTACAGAAAAATACAAAAATGAGCTTGGCATGGTGGTGCATGCCTGTGGTTTCAGCTACTTGAGAGGCTGAGGTGAGAGGATCGCTTGAGCTCAGGAGGTAGAGGCTGCAGTGAGCTGTGACTGCACCACTGTACCCCAGCCTGGGTGACAGAATGAGACCATATCTTGAAAAAAGAAGGCAATATGAAGAGGGTGGCATCTCCCATGAGCCAGTCTGCCTCAGTATCTGCACAGAAGACTGAGCAGGCCAGGCCTTCCCTTCTCATTGGCCTGGTCCCTGAAAGAGCTCTGTTATTCCAAGTCAGCTATGCAGGTCAAGACAAGTGAGGTCTGGGACTCACCCTCCCAGGACTGCCCTCCCTCATTGATATCTATGTGGGCTGCATACACAAACCAAGCAAATTTCATAAGCGCTATGGCCTCCTCAGTGCAGGCTGGGACCTGCGGTCCAGGGTTCCTGACATGTCTGCTCACTGCTCTACAAATGTGTTGGCTTTAGGAGAGGAGGACCAGGAAGGCTAGGTGTCAACATTTATATGCTCTTTCTGCCCCAGTTGCCACAGCTCAATAATGTGTTCTTAACATGTGCCCAGTTGTGTGCAAAAACAGTAATGATGAAATCAAAATTAAACTACCTCTGAGGGTTGGCAGTGATCATATAAATTAGTAGTGGTAGTTTAATAGTAATAGTAGTTACAATAGCAGCTTATACATATATAGCACCTATTATGTGCCATGCGTGTGCACAGCACACGGTTTACCTTTCACCTCACAATAACTCTTTGAATTGTTAGCCCAATTTACCGATGAGGAAACTGAGGTTCAAGAAGGTTTAGTATCTTGCCTGTAATCACCCAGCTAATAAATGCTAGAAACAGGATTCACCTTAAGCAGTTTGACTTTGGGTATCATCTTTTATGATCATTTGGCAAGGGGTCTCCTTAAGCATTATGGTGTATCCAACTTTGAGGCTGAGCAAGATACCTAACCTCTCTGGGCCTCTGGCTCCTTCTCTATAAGAGTATCAAACCCTCAGTCTGGCTGGGAGGTGACGAGCTGATGTACGTAAAGCTTTTAGACCCATGCCTAGCACATAATGAGAGCTCAAAAGTGTTAGTAACTGTTGTTGATGTGATCAAATAGCCTAAGCCTAAGAACTCCAGGCAGAACCTACTGTTTGTGAACAGCTGGAGAACATTCTTAAACGGTTTTTTTGGCATCTACTTTAGGTTTATGAAGATAAGGAGACCTTCACAATTTCTAGAAATATCATTTTGCTTGACACTCTGAGTTCCTCCCTGAACTTAGTGGGGTGTGCGTGGAATCCAGTAGACTCTGTAAAGCCTGAGCCCCGTCACTTACAAGCTGCGAGTCCTTGGACTGGTTATTCCACACGCTGAGCTTGTTATGCGCCCTAGGAAAGAAAGATAATCCTGCACACCCTCACAGGTTGCTGTGAGGACTATGGGACAGCATCTCTGAGTGACAAATGGATACACCACCTAGCAGAGAGTAAATGCTCAGTAAAAGGGAATTACTTTGATAGCACATTAATCATTGTTTTTAGAATCATTATCATTGACAATAAGGATACTGAAATTCAGGTGATTTTTCCTGCTCTTTGGTGAGTGGGGTGAGGAAGGATACCAGACCTAAATCACCAAGAAGCCCAACCTCTTCTTTCACTGCCTCCTTCTGCACGACAGCCCTTCAGACACTGCCTTAGCACATATAGGAGCTGAATTCTGCATAGCTGGGGTTTCCCAAATGCACCCATGACACCAAAAACCAGGATTGTTGTAGAGAATATAGGCTTTGTGCAGGTTCCCAGGAGAAAACTGAAGGACTATGCTCAATCCTTACTGGAATCAAGAAGTGCATTTTCATGATGCTGAGAAAGAAAAAAGGTAGTCTTAAAATTCCTTATTGGGAAAAGCAGAGGGAAACATGAGGAGCAAAGTATCTAAGAGAAAGAAAGGAAAAATTATTCACTCTATCTGATAGGAAGGCTTCTGGCGGCCTTGGCTCTATAGCTCCACCAAGCTAATTCAGCAAGAGCTGACCCTATCAGGTGGCTGCCAAGTCTGGAACCATTGGCATATAGACAATAAATGAAATGACACTGCAAATCATGATATAATGCTATCATCTATGTTCTCAGACTTTATAGTCATAGAGTATTAGGAATCAGCAAAAGAGGTAAAGGTCAAGGCTGGATGAACTCTTATGCACCCCACCCCCAATAGCGGGGGCAAGTGTCTCTGTAGCAGCTGACTGACCTGAGACCTTTGGATCATGTATGCATCGTAGCTGGACACATGGTACTTGGCCGTAATATCTGGACTGTAGCCAGCACCACAAGTGCATGGTATATTCAAGCCCCAAAGCTGTTTCTTAGGTCTATAAACCTGTGGGAGAAAGCTACAATGGTTAGGTGCAGGAGGGCAAGGCATGGGGGAGGAATGGGGAAAAGCAAAGAAGGATGCTCATTTTGACTGTCTGAGGCCAAGTGGGTGGAAAACTCAGTGGAAAAGATGCACAGCGCCAAACAAAAAGGTCAGGTGTAAGCAATCCCGACCCCTGAGGCCAGCGTCAGCAAGGCATGCCACTCTGTGGAATGACCCCAGTGTCTGGCAGTGACTGGGACCCTCCCTCTACAAGGAGAGGGTGCCCAGGCATAGTAGTGGTCTCTCTCTCTCTCTCTCTCTCTCTCTCTCTCTGAACAAGGCAGCCCCATGAGAAATGAACTCTGGGACAGAGCCAGTGTATGCCTTTTCCTTCCTGAGGGGTAAAAGGGTTGGTTGCATTGGAAGGGGAGGGTACTTACTCCTGGTTTCCCTTCCACTCACCTTGCCCATGGTGCTCAGCACAGATCACTCTAGCAGGCAGAGAGCCTGCCCTAGGGGCTGAGTCAATATGGACACACTTCACATGGTAACTGTGTGGCCATTAGAGAGCTTCAGAGCCACATATGGCCCTAGCTAAAATGTGGTATCCACCCTGCAAGGCCATAGACCATCGAGCTGAGTGAGTTTCATAGTGAACTAGAATCTTAAGTGAATAGCTTTAATCATTGCTTACAAGAGTCACTTAGTTACAGGAGGAGGAGAAGATTTCATGGATGATTTTCCATATGCTTCAGGTATAATTATTTTCATTCAAGCCACTTCCAGAAAACCCTCCAAAGAGCAAGGAACTTTCTGTATAAGTTAGAACTATGCCCCTCCTTCCATGTCCCTCAAAACAAATACAGTGGCCTAGAAAGGAGAAAACACAGGATAATGGGGCAAACAGGTGATTTTTAAAAATTAGAGTGAATAATAGCTGGGTGTTCTCCAAGCATAGTCTGGTAGTGCTAGAAGATGGTCCTTGTCTGAAGGGTATTGGAGGAAACAGTCCAAGAACTAAAGTTGGAAGAATAGAGAGAAAGAAACCTAAAAACCTAGATGAGGGCAGTTATTTACAGGGACCCGAAGTGAGCAAGACGGAAGGTAACAGGTCCAACAGGAAAGAAGTTGCTCAGAATTTAATTGTAAGTTTCTAGTATTTAATCAGAAGTCAAACAAAGCCCATTGGAAGGAAGAGATCTGAGAGGTTTTTCTGGGGAAATGATGCTGACACAAAAGAAAGGAAAACAGCACTCAGTGCAAACCACACAAGCCCAGCCACATGCACATAAACACAGACAGGCAGTAAAACGGTGTTCCAGCAACAACCGGGACCATTGCGCTCCTACCTGGTTTTAGCTGCTTGAGCCCACTGGATGGACATGGGAAAATGAAGAGTGGCTAAAACCCAGAGAAAGCCCCCAAAGCCCCGAACCCAACAAAACACACCTTTCTTGCAGGAGGCCCCACCTGCTGCTTTAATTGATGCACTAGTCGGTCTTTTTCCCGCTTGAGGGCCATGACTTCTTCCTGTGTCTTTTTCTTTTTGGAGGCAGACAATTCCAGCAGAGCAATGTTTGCATCTTTTTCACTGATGGCCGCAAGTAGCGCTTCCTGTCTGGTAAAATAAAGATTATTGAGATCATTTTTATAAAGTAAAAAACCCCCAAAGAATTGGCATTTATATTTGAAATGAACCACAGAATATTGTCTCAATGGGAAGAAATTATGAATAATACTTAAGACAAACTAGCTCTTTGGCTTTCAGAATGGACAAAATCGTTTGGGTCAGAATTCCTCAGAACTGCACACTACAGCCACTGAGAGAGGAATCTTTTAATGACTTCATAGATGCAGCCACATATTAGAAATAGGAGGGAACTAATTTGAGCGTTCATTGCTGACACATTTATCCATCTATCCAACCATCCATCCAAACATACATACATTCATCTAACCATCCATCAATTTGCCAAGAGTCTTAACCTGTTTTCTGTTGTTATAAAATAATAACCAAGACTGCATAATTTCTAAAGAAAAAATGTTTATTTGGCTCATGATACTGAAGATTGGGAAGTTTAAGGGCATGGTGGTAGCTTCCAGCAAGGGCATTTGTACTAACGTAGCAGAACAGTGGAAGGACGAGTGAGCAAGTGTGAAAGAGACCACAAGATCAAGCAAAGCTTGCTTTTATAACAATCTGCTCTCTTGAGAACTAGTTCACTCCTGCAATAAGGAAATTAGTCCATTTGTGAGGGCTCCACCTCATGATCCTCATGATCTAAGCACTTCTTAATGCCCCCTGCCTTTTAATACTGTTATATTGGCAATTAAGTTTCCAACATATGAACTTTTGGGGGACACATGCAAACTATAGCACTAAGTGAGGTTCTAGCTACTCTTAAGGAAACTCCCCAAAACTGGGTAGCATTTCATGTATTATGTTTTTCATACAAGATTTTCTTTTGAAGGTGAACAGAGGTATTTACTGGAAATCCTGTTCTATTTTCAATGTATTTACTAATGTTCCCTTGCCATCCCACTGAAAACAATTACCTCCTCAGCCTTCCTTATTTCAGTAATTATACTATATCCACTAAGCAGTGCAAACCCTGAACATAGAAGTCGTCCTTGAGTTCTTTCCTTCTTTCTCTGTCCAGAGCCAACACACTGACAACTTCAGTAGGTTTTACTTGAAAGTACGTCCCTTATCTAAACTCATGCACTACTATAAGAATATCAACCAGCCGTCAGCATCACTCATTGGGGACCGCTACAAAAGCTTACTCATTGATCTTGGTAAAGAGAGTAAAGTCATCTTTCAGATTCCACCATTGTGTTGTGTAAAGACTCATTGCATCACCCTCCAGACTTGAAATCCAGACCCTTTATTGATGCTTGCAACACATTATACCAACCAGCCCTGACTACCTCTCTGAAGGCCTCTGTTCCTCTCCTCCTTCCTCAATCATTAGGCTCCAGCTTATTTCATTCCAGGTCTCTGCTAGTCCTCGGAAATGTTACCCATGTCCTCACCCTACAGGCTTTGCCTTTCTGTGCTTTTGCCTCACACAGCTCTTCATCTTGCATATGTGTGACAGACCACTGACTCGGACCACCTCATGTCCGAATCGGTGGTCGGTCACATTCCACCGCTTCATTTTTTTCACAGCACTCTTTGCCATTTGATAGAACCTTATTTATTATTGCTTTCTGGATTTGATGCTCCATGAAATTGAGACCTCACCAATCTTGTATACCATCAATTCTCAAAGTTCTAGAAGATCCCTCAGCACATAGTGGGTGCCCAAAATTGTTGGTTCAAGGAATAAGTAAGTTCGTTTTTTAATTTTATAGACTTTGAAGATATCACCAGATGCCTCTTCCTCTCATTTTTTAAAAAAGTTAGAATGCTTTGCTTCCTGCTTAACCTACAGTCATTGCTTATTCAGAAAAGTTTGAAAGTTACCTACTTCCATTTTTACAGTATAATTTTATGACCACATCTGTCACAAATTTTAACCTGGAATTTTCTGGGATGATTTTTGAGTAGGAAATAGCTCTCCTGGGTGTGTTTCATTGAATCCTCCTTTCCAGGGAGAAAGTCTTATCCCCACCATTTGTGTCTCTTCTGAAACATTGTAGCCTCCACAGCTCCAAGAAAGTCTCCACAATGGGAACTTCCCTTGCACACAAGCCCCAGGACTAAAACCTGATCATGATCCTGTTTTGCCTTTCTTTAATCCCCATCACCAGACCAGGCCCTCTCCAGATGTTTGGACAAGGTGATCATTATTTGGATCTCAGATTATTCCCCTTTTCACTGCAGGGATTTATATGGAGTTTTCTGGGCCCCACTAATGCCTGGCAGTAGGAGCTTCTGTTTGAAGCTCACACAGATGTGTGAGCAGCAGAACATGTCAGGAAATATCTCCATTTTCCAGAAGAAAAGCAGTACAGGCTGGACTACCACCAGCAGCATTAATATCCAGCTTCACAGAGCCTGTCTGCCTTTGGATAACAGTTGAGACAATAGACATACTTGTGGCTTCCAGCCAGTACATATTCACACAGAGGGCGAAGCTGAAGAGGCTATATAGACTTTAAATCAGAGAGAGTCTATTTGCTATCTGCTATTCCAAACTTTAGCCATAACACACAAGGTGACTGCAACATTTTATCCCCTCTGTTTCAAATTGAAATATCTAAGTGAAGCTTTTTAAATGAAAACAAACTAAAGGACCAATATTAGGAAAATTGGGGACTGGAAGTAAATTGACTACATCTCTACAACTATATCTCTTTTTTTTTCTTTTGAGACAGAGTCTCACTGTGTCACCAGGCGGGAGTGCAGTGGCATGATCTCAGCTCAAGTGCAACCTCCGCCTCCTGGGTTCAGGCAATTCTCCTGCCTCAGCCTCCTGAGTAGCTGGGACTACAGGCATGTGCCACCATGCCCAGCTAATTTTTGTATTTTTAGTAGAGACAAGGTTTCATCATGTTGGCCAGGATGGGCTCCATCTCTTGACCTCATGATCTGCCTGCTTCAGCCTCCCAAAGTGCTAGGATTACAGGCCTGAGCTGCCGCTCCCAGGCTACAGCTGCATTTTTACAGACATATGCAGTTATTTAAAATGCTAATTAAAAAACTTTAGTGACATGGGAAAATATTTATGCTTGTTGAGAAATAATTCTCTATGACTCTCCCATGTTTCTGTACATTTTACAAGCAGAGGCACTATTTTATTTTCTGACAAATCTTTCAAGAATGGAGACTATCTTTGAAAGACAGAAGTGGTATATCTTTTTGAATCAAAAGGTAGACACGCTTACTGCTCTATAAAATAGTGTCTCCTTCTAGAGCAAAAGGCAAGGTAGGCATGTTACTGCCCATTATAAAATATTCAGATTCTCTAATCTCAGGGTTGCTTCTCTGATAATACAAACAACTGCATGTATGTGTTCATGCCGTCCATCCTGACTGGCCTCCATGAGGCTTGGAGCAAGGAGAATTGACACAAATATACTAATTATTCATTCTGTGCCATGTGCAATAAAGTCCTTTATCTTTGGCCCCGAAGTCTCTTGTCATCTGCCTGCATCCATGCAACTGAGGCAGGCTAACCTGTTAGCATGCCAGTAGGGAAGATCTCAGACCCTTCACAGTCCTTGACAAACAAATGTATATCCAACAAGATCCCTAAAACGTAAAGCTATATTCACAGGAAGAAACAAGGACAAAAAGGAAGTATACCAAAATGATAATAATCACCATTTCAAGGTGATAGGATGAATGAGGCCATTTTTTACTCTGTTCTGCTTATACTTTTAAGCATTATTCTTAGAAAATATCATAAGAGTAAACATTTAACACTTGCAAGTCAAGCTTTGAGTCATCAAGTAAACTGCAGGTACATGGTTCAAAATCTTAGCAGGTATGTAATTTGCTCATTTTCCCACCCAAGTTACCTGTAATATGTCCCATTCTTTATGCACAGATAGGTACACATACACATATTTTCATACACAAACAATGTCTGATACGATCTACATCATCTACCACTTGGAAAACTGCAGTAAGCTCCTAACCAGGTTGCCTGTGTCTACCTTCAGGCTGCTTTAACCCATTTTCGTCTTCTGGGTCGAAATTTGATATCATATAGCTTTAATAACTGTCAAAAGTCATCATCAACCCAAAAAGTAATTGTTCTAAACTCTCCTTTCTCTATGATTCTAAAATTTAGGCTTTTAAGCTTTAATACATTTCTCCTCTCATGATACTACCAAAAATCACAACAAATTAATTTCTAATTAACACTTTACTACCAGAGAAAAACATATATCAATTTATAATTCTCTACAAATGTTATTAAATACAGTTCCAAGTCGAACTGACCTGAATTATCAAACCTCAAAGTACATTAGAAATATTTCTAATAAAATTACATTTGAAGCCACTCACTAACTGTTAAATTAATATTGATATAAAATAATCTATTTTGCTCTTTGTAACTTTTTTCTTATTGTAGTTTTGTTTTATTTTGTTTTGCTTTTGACTAACAAATCTATTTTTATAGATACTGGCATTATACAATCATATAACTCTAAATAAAATCAATGTAACTAAGATGATATATATTTTGACACCTTCATTTAACTATTGGCCATAAACTAATGATATTTTCCCCAAAAATAACTTGATTGAGATATGAGATATACATTCAACAATTCTAGTCCATTTAAATCGAAGAATCATTAATAGAAGATTAAAAGGTATATAAAATTAGAGAAATATGAACATTCCATACTTCAAAATATTCAGCAATATATTCTGAATATGTTAAGGTTTATCTGGCTATTACCTATTTGTACAGGGATGGCAGGCCTAGAATTAAACAAACTCTTAATTCCAGGCTAACAGAGCCATTGAATTTGTTTTTTGAAGCAAAAAGTTTTACAAAATGAGTTAAAGTAACTCTTTCTTAAGCTAATAGACTTTAGCTAACACAGGTTGAACTTCCCAAATCCAAAAATCCAAAATCCTCTAAAATCCAAGATGTTTTGAGCACCAACAGGTCGTTCAAAGACAATGCTTATTGCAGCATTCTAAATATTTGG